TGGATATAGATGTTGTGAGATGGGTGGTGTGGGTGCGGTGGTGATGTGTTGTGGTAGTGTTATCGGCACAGTGGTGCTCATGATGGTGGAGGCAGGAGGTGGTGTTGCCCAACTATTGTTGTGTTGTTGTTGATTATGTTGGTGATTGCGGTTGCGGTTGCGGTAAGGGGTGGGGGTGTCTGTGACCAATAATTAAGCGTATGTGATCAACTATTTGGACGTTTGTAACCGCCTGGACAATTAGACATCCAACCCGTAATCGCAACGACCCAATTGCAAGAGCGGAGCTCTACCAACTGAGCTATATCCCCCCAAGCCAAGTGGAGCATGCATGAAGTAGTCAGATCCTTTTTCTATTCTTTTTCTCGACGCAATTGGGCCATCCTGGACTTGAACCAGAGACCTCGCCCGTGAAGTAAATCATCGCACCTATTTGGCTGAATTGTGACAAAAAAATTAGGTGTTTGTGATTACAAAATAATTTTTGATCAATAAACCATGATCTGTGACTCATAGATAAAATGTGACGTATAATTTGAATGATCTATGACCTTGAAATAATTGATTTATGACCACGAAATAATATGTGACCAATTAAATCGATGATATGTGATCAGTAAATAAATCTATGACCAATAATTATGAATATGTGACCATTAATTGTGAAACTGTGACTTTATTTATTTAATTAATAAATATTTTCAATTAATTATACATAAACCTAAATTCTGAATTTTTAAACTTTGTACCTGATTTGTGAATTTGTGTAAACAATACACCTGAATTATGAACTTTTCCCCAAAAATTATCATTCTTTGTAAATGGAACATGAATAAGTTAACAAATTATAATTGGATAAAAAGTAATAATTTCACCAACTAAAAATATTAAAAAAATAAAACAAATAAAAAACAAAATAAATAAATGGGACGGTAAACAGGGTAGGGGACCCATCCCGTCCCACCTTAACTGTGTACGGGGGTGGGGACGAGAATGACTGTCCCAATCCTAATCCACACCGTCCCACCTTAACTATGTACGAGGGTGGGGACGAGAATGACTGTCCCAATCTTAATCCACTATGTTGCTCTCCTGAAGTCCTCATGGCCTAGTAGCCCTGTAGTGATGACAGATTTGGAAACATAAAACTTAAATTATAAGCGATTGATAGGTCTTTAAGAAAGTAAAGATATCGTGTGAAGTGGAAATTTACATTTGTCAAATTTTATGATTGTTTGATGTCTTGTGAAGCATAAAATTTTAGATTGCTACTAACAAAGATGGATTTAGCATTACCTTTTACTAAATTAAAAATACTTATGTGTGATCATATTGGAGATTTTTGCTAAGTATTTTTAATTTAGTAAAAGGTAATGCTAAATCCATCTTTGTTAGTAGCAATCTAAAATTTTATGCTTCACAAGACATCAAACAATCATAAAATTTGACAAATGTAAATTTCTACTTCACACGATATCTTTACTTTCTTAAAGACCAATATGATCACACATAAGTATTTATTCGAAAGAAATGAGGGAGCGAAATACATATACTCTACTTGTCGTTATAGTTTCTTTCTTGGTGTCCCATTATATTCAAAGACAAAAGGTGTAAATGAAGACATTATCCTTGTTTAAAGAAAAGAAGAACAAGAAGAGGAAAAAAAAAAAGAAAAGAAAAGGGTTTTTGAATTTGAATGTTATAGGAATGTGTCTGTTAACCTAGAAGATTTTTCTCAATAGCTCTATTTTTTATTTAAAAAAACTTCTGAGTTTGATCCAAGTGGTACGTTGTTAATTTCTTTTAAATGGTGTATCAATATTCTTATACAATTTCATGAAACAATTTTCACGATTTCTTCCAAAATTCACAAACCTATAATAAGGACAATGGCTTTTCAATGATTGGCCCACAACCAAGATTTGTATATAACATCTCATAAAATTAATTTTAGAGTAAATTATATGTATTTCGCTCCCTCATTTCTTTCGAATAAATCTCCCTATTTGGTATACAAATTTTGCATCAATGTTTAGGTGATAAAAGTAAGAGTTTTGTATGCTAGTTTGCTTTCGATAAGGATGTTGTTTCTATGTAGGAACAAATTTTTATTTTTATTTTTTTAAGGGGACGCAATTGTTGGAGATCTAAAACACTTAAAAGAGCAAAACTATCTTAAAGACTTGAATGGCATCATTTTCTTGTTCTACTTTTTATTTGATATAAAATGTTTAGTAAAATCTCGTAAGCATACAGAATCATTGACAATGTAATAATTTTAGGAGTACGAGTATCGTCCCTCGAGAAGTAGACCTTAAGTTTAATGATTTTAATTCGAAGTCAAATTCCAATGTAACTGAAACCAAAGAGATTTTGATTGTTGCTTGATATCAACTAATTTTCTTGGTCTGTTTTAATGAAATCTACTGGTTGTAATATATCTTTCTTCATCAAATTCTCCACTGAGAAAGAGTCTTTTATGTTCATTGATGTAATTCTAAATTTAAACGTGCTACTATGGCTAAAAGTATGCGAATTAAAGTAAATTTCACTACTGGTGAAATATATATATTTTTTCCATAATTTATACCTTCCTGTTGAGTTATAATCCTTTGCTACCAAACCAACCTTATACCTCTCTATTGTCCCATTAGCTTTTTGCTTTATCTAGAGAACCTACTTATTCCAAATAGCTTTCCTACCAATTGAAAGATCAACCAAGTCCCAGATTTGATTGGATTTTATAGACTCTATTTCTTCTGCCATTGCAATCTTCTAATTTTTCTTTACAGTGCATGATAGAGCTTCAAATATTGATTTAGGTTCTTCATCATCCTTTTGAAATACTAAAAAAATTTGCCCCTAAATCTTGAAATGACATTTAGGCATAATTTTTTTTTTTTTTTTAAGTACTTTTATAAAGTGAAAGCTCCGATGTGATCTTGTCACTTGGAGATAAATTGCTCCCACTTGGGAACAACAGATGGAAGAGTTTTCTCTTGCTCATCAATTGATTCATCAAGTATAATTTTACCATCTAATTCGAATAAATATTCTTCCTTTTTAATTTCGCCTTTGCTAGGGAAATCATTTTTGAGAAATGTCAAGTCACGTAACACTATCTCATATATAATTTCACTTCAATTTTCACCTATAAACACATATCATTTGGATTGATTCAAGTATTTGATAAAGATATATTTCTTGCCTCTTTGACCCAACCTTCCAAATTTGTTAGAGGGATCATAGATGTATACAACTGATCCTCAAGGTCTGAAATAGCTTAAATAAGGCGAATTATCCGTCCAAGCTGATATGGAGTTGTAGGAACTTATTTCGAAGAAACCCTATTTAGAAAGTAGGTCGCAATCAATATAAACACATATCATTTGGATTGATTCAAGTATTTGATAAAGATATATTTCTTGCCTCTTTGACCCAACCTTCCAAATTTGTTAGAGGGATCATAGATGTATACAACTGATCCTCAAGGTCTGAAATAGCTTAAATAAGGCGAATTATCCGTCCAAGCTGATATGGAGTTGTAGGAACTTATTTCGAAGAAACCCTATTTAGAAAGTAGGTCGCAATCAATAAAACATCTCCTCAAAAGGAAATAGGTAAGTTAGTTTGCGTGATCATAGCCTATACCATTTCAAGCAATGTTCTATTACTCCTCTCAATAATACCTTTTTGCTATGCTGTGTTGGGAGTTATTGGGAATAGTTAATTGCCTAAAATTTCCCTTTTTATTGCATAGTTTCCTAGGATTAGACATGGTCCGGTTCGGTTCGGTTAAGTTTTTGGACCCAAAATTTTTAGGTATTTAGTAAGTGGAATAGTCGGGTTCAAATATAATTATGAAACTGTTCAGGTTCGGTTCCATTTGGTTCATTGGTTCCATTCGATTTCCGTGTTCCGTACTATAATTATTTTTTTAATGTTTACAAAACTACATTAATTCAACTAATGACATGTTCAATCTTAGCTCTTATAAAAAAACGTAATCCAATCTTATATATCTTTTGCATATCTCTTTGCTAAGTTCTTTATAGATTTGATTGTTAAAATCATAGGAAAATGAAGAGGAAAATAAAGAGTTCACAATAATTAAGAGAAGCGCTGTTGAATTTCAATTTATCTATAATGGTAGAAATAGCAATACCGTAGAATAACATATTTGGATAAAACTTATGTTAATTTGATTACGTTGGGTTTGTATTGAAAATTAGAAATAGGAAAATCATATTTTTAGGTTTGAGTTAAATTAACTACTTAGCAAATTTATTTAGAAAAAATAAAAATAATTTGACTTATTTAAAATAAATAAATTAAAAGAATTAGGGAGATTCGATTCGTTTCAATTCAGGGTGGGCCGGGTGGGTTGATTCGATTCGGTCGGTTCAGTTCGAGGGTTTTGTCCAGCTCCATAGTTTCCTAGACTCCTCAGATAGATATTCATGTCGTCGACCAGTTCTTAAGATCTTTACCTCTCTCTCTCTCTCTCTCTATTTTAATTCTCTAAGTATCATTTGAAGTATTCCAATGCCTCTTAATTTATGTGAAATCAAATAAGTAAAACTACATTATGTGAAATAATCTATAAATTTAATGAAGTAAGAAGCACCATGTCTGACATTCACATTACAAGTGCACAAATATCATAATGGACTTTGTGCAATGGAAATTCAGCCCTCAAAGCTTTATAAAATGATTTTTTGTTGTTGTTTTTCCTGTTAGACAATGCTTGCAAGTTGGCAAAGAAATCTTAGAGATTGAACAGACATTCTTTAGCTAACCTAATCATTCTATCTTATCCAATATGTCCTAATCTAATATGTCATATATGTTGTATTTATTGTATGAAATAGCATTTTCATTTAGTGCCATAATGGGATGAGCCCTTTTTATTAACACACATGGAGGCTCTTACTCTCACTCCACTCAATATAGAATTGGCCCATTAAATTCTATATATATGTTGGCCCTTCATCCTCTCCATCTCTTAAGCAAGAAAATGGGAAATCGGTTTTAGGGTTGAAGGGAGGAGTAGAGTGTAGTTCTCTCCATAGCAAGTTTTCTTCATTTTCGCAGCCTAAAGAATCCATGGTAAGTCACTCACAATTTGTTGGAGGTATGTTTTCTTTTATTATTGTTACACGTGCTATAACAATGAGAAGGGATTATTAAATCTATTGATGTTTAACAAATGGTATTAGAGCAAACTTCTCATTTTTATAGCTGTGTCATTGACTCATTCCATTTATATTCATTGGCTATTGTGCACTATGCCTGCATACCCATTTTTTGTCCATAAAGGAGACATGTAGTTGAGATATTTCTTCAAACATCTGCCGATCAATTGTTGGACGGTGGTGTGTGTGCACATTTATTACAGCAGTCTGCTTCTCTCAAAACCACAGACCAAAAAAAAAAGGAAAAAAAAACGGACGGAAGATTTCCAGAGAGAGAACAAAACTCGTGTATATATATATATATATATGAAAATAATAACTTCTAGGAAATAAGATGCTAATTACCTTGGATTTGTGGCTCCAAGATTGGATCTTTTTTCATCGCAGATTTAAATACTTCTTTAAGATTATGAGCTTGTGGGAGATCTGATTGGCCATTGAGATGGAAAAGAATAAATGGTTACAGAAAAAGAGAGGAGTCCGAGTGAAAGTGAAAGCTCGGGTTCAATATCTTCACACAAAGGTTGGCAGATTTTGAGAGAGAGTGAGAGACATCAGAACTCATAAAAGGCCTAAAATGAATTTGTTCTCTATTGTAACCCAAGAGTCAAATACCATTTTAAATCAAGATTAGATCCCAACCCTTGAGTTGATCCAAAGGCCCATGGTGGAGATGGAGAAGGACAATCCTTATTTTAGTAAAGTGACCAATTGGTTGTCTTAAAATTTAACAATTTATACCGATTTAATCGTTTAATATTTCATTGGGTATTGTTTAAGCTTCAAGCATTGGATAAGAGTTTATGGCATTGGTTAATGGTTGGCCAATATCTTATATTGCGAAATTATTTTCCCATTACGTGTTTATGAATTTTTGTGATATTACTCCATATTTGTTAATTGGAGAAAAGAAATGGATAATCTCTTTTGAGAAGAATAAATATTTTGTCCATGTGGATTACATAATTTCGTTGTATACAGATGGTTTGGAGTGGCTATGTACTCACTTCTCGTGGGACTAGTCATGATAAATTATCGAGATTGTTATATTGTTCACGCTTCTGCTTAATAACATTATACTATGATCCATGTAGATAGTTAATTTGCCCTCTCGATAAATCATTATTTGGTAGGATGCTTAGGACGACAAAAATAATAGTTAAGTGCTTGGCACGTGGTGGCCAAATTCTATCTTCTTGGTAGTGGGTCATTTTAAGTCCTTGTATTTAATTATTTTGCTTTGTAAAGTGTAAGAGCCTTTTGTGCGTCTTGGGCTCTAGCATAGTGTGTAAGAGTTCATTTTAAATAAAACTCTAGCATGGATATAAAATTGCCCAGTGAAAGTATTGTGGCTGAAAAGATTCTTTATGAACAGTGGGTGCATTTTAATAGGACTTGTCTTATGATCATGAAGTATACTATTGACAAATTTATTAGGCATAGCATATCTGATACAGATATGCCAAAGAGTATCTTGAGGCTATTGGGAAGAAATTTACTAAGTTTGACAAGACATAAAAATGAACTTTGATGAAACTTCTCACTACCACAACCTATGAAGGGTCAGTGGAGTTAGAGAGCATATTATAAAGCTTACTCATTTCTTTAACAAGCTAAAAGAATGAAAAGGTTTATTAAAGATGGTATACTAGTTGATTTGAATTTTTCTTATTTTGAAACTTGTGTTGCTTGTATCGAAGGAAAGCTTCAAAAAATAAAAAAATTAAAAAAAAATTGCTGCATACATTTTGAATCAAGTACCAAACAAGTCGGTTCCTAAAATATCTTATAAGTTATGATTAGGTAAAAAGCCTAGTTTACATCATTTCTGTGTTTGAGGTTGTAAAGCAGAAATAAAGCCTTATGATCCTCAGCAGAAGAAAATTGATCCTAAGACCATCATTGAATATTTTGTTGGGTATTGTGTGGGATCAAGAGGATCTAGATTCTATTACCCTTCTAATATTACTAGAATTATTGAATCTGATTGGGCCATTTTCTTTGAGGACATTAGTGGCAGTGGGAGCTCTGCACCACATGAAGTTGTGTTTAGGGAGGAATGTGTTATTATACTTGTTCAAGTTACTTCTCCATCAATGGTTGTGCCACAATTAATAGAGGGAACCAATACTATTGTCCAGACCCCATTGTTGACACTGAGGTTAATGTTAATTTGGGGACTGATGATATTGTTTTGAGGAGATCACAGAGAATTTGTAGACCCACAATTTTCTGATGATTATATTGTCTATTTATGGGAGCATGACTTTGATGTTCGTATGTATCTTGATCCGACCTCTTTTAAGGAGGTCATTGATAGTCCTAAATCTTCATTTTGGATGGGTGCTATGCATGATGAGATGGCATAAATGTGTCGAAATGGAGTATAGGACTTAGTTGAACTATCTTGTGGCTGTAGGCCAATTGGCTATAAATGAATTTTCAAGACCAAGTATAGTTCCCAAGGTCTGGTAGAAAGGTATTAAGCTAGGCTTATTGCTAGGGGCTTTAATCAAAGAGAATGCATTTATTATAAGGACACCTTCTCGCATGTTTCTACCAAGTATCCTTTCCGGGTTGTTATGGCATTGGTGGCTCATTTTGATCTCGAGTTGCATCAAATGGCTGTCAAAACAACTTTTCTTAATGGACATTTATTTGAGGATGTATAACTGATGCAACCCGACGGTCTACAAGTAGATGGAAAGGACCACATGGTGTGTAAGCTTAAAAAGTCTATTTATGGGCTTAAAAATTGATGAGATTATCACTTCTTTCAATTTCAAGGAGAATGTTGTTGATCAATGCATATACTTGAGGGTCACTGGGAGTAAGTATATATTTCTTGTTCTTTATGTTGATTATATATTACTCGCTGCAAATGACATTAAGCTTTTGCTTGAGACAAAGCGCATGTTCTCATCTCATTTTGATATGTAAGATCTTGATTAGGCCTCTTATGTTTTGGGGTTCAGATTTTTTGTGATAGATCTAGAGATGTTCTTGGATTGTCTCAGAAAACCTACATTGATCGAGTTTTGAGTAGGTTTAATATGAATTCTTGTTCTCTTGGTAAAGCACTTATTGTGAAAGGTGACAAATTTTCTGAGTCTCAATACCCTAAGGATGATAATGAGAGGACTCAAATGCAACCAATTCCCTATTCTTTAGTTGTGGGTAGTTTGATGTATGCTCAAGTGTGTACACGGCCTGACTTTGCTTACGTTGTTAGTGTACTTTGTAGATACTTGAGTGATCCTGGTTTAGCTCACTTGCAAGGCACTAAAGATCTAATGCTTACATATCGGCGCTATGACATTCTTGATGTAGTTGGATATTATGATGTTGATATTGTAGGTTGTTTAGATGACAGAAGATATACTTTTGGTTATGTTTTTTATTGATCAGTCTCGTGCCTGAGTCATGGGGAATTTGGACAAGGCAATGTTTATATATATATAGAGACATTTTGGTTAGTCTCATGCCTGAGTCACGTGCATTTTGGACAAGGCATTCTTTATGTATTGAGACATTTTGATTAGTCTCGTGCCTGGTTCACATGCATTTTGGACAAGGTGTACTTTATGTATTGAGGCATTTTGATTAGTCTCGTACCTGGGTCACGCGCATATTGGAAAAGGTAAAATTGGTGCATTGAGATATTTTGGTAAGTCTTATGCTTAAGTCATGCGCATCATGGACAATGCGTGTTATCTATAAGAGACAATATATTTTCAGTCTATGTCTAAGTCTGGCAGTTGTAAGCATATGTCTGGTGTCATATACCCTGTCAATATAGTCATTGGGCTATATGCTACAACTGTATTTTGGACAAAGCTTATTGTTTTTTAAGACATTCAAATTTATCTCTAGGGCTTCTTATGGAAACGAGTGTTCATCACTCTTTTGCTCTTTTCCATATTGTTTTTACATCTCGTTAGCCTATTTTACGTGATTTCAAATATTGATCATGTGTTGTTATTCTATCGGTATATCATTCACTGGTTTGAACTTGTAGGCACATTTTGAACAAGGCTTTTGGTTTTGAGATGCTTTCTTGTGTTTATGTAGTGATTAAATGAAATGCTGTCCAAGTGGGAGATTATTGTATTTATTGTATGGACTAGCATTTTCATTTAGTCATTGTTTGAGCCCATAATGGGATGGGCCCTTTTTATTAACACACATCGAGGCCCTTACTCTCACTCCACTCAATATAGAATTGGCCCCTTAAGTTCTATATAGATGTTGGCCCTTCCTCCTCTCTATCTCTTAAGCAAGAAAAGGGGAAATCAATTTTAGGGTTGAAGGGGAGAGTACAGAGTAGTACTTCCATAGCAAGTTTTCTTCATTTTTGCAGCCTAAAGAATCCATGGTAAGTCACTTACAATCTGTTGGAGGTACACATGCTATAATAATGAGAAGGGATTATTAAATCTATTGATGTTTAGCAATAAACACTTACTTGTATTTTCATCTATAACAAAAGAAGAAGATACATTTATGGAAAATTATCGATTTACACAATAGTTTTAAGTGTTTAGATCACTATCCAACACAAAAAACCATCATAGAGATATCCAAATCCATACATTACCATTGTTTATGCGAACATAATTACCCCTAAAGTTCAAACTAAAATCTAATCTTGAAAAAATAACGACCTAAATCAAGTTTCGACGTTTCCATAGCACAAATAGAGCATCATGAAGGATAACAGTACGACCACAACGCAAGTATAACTTACAATTACAAGTCCATTTCACCTCCACCTTATCATTGTTTTTGACATATACCACTTTGTACCAACTAGGAATTAACGGAACTTCACATATGCTTATTGATTCTTAGTTACATGGTTTGTCGCTCTTGAGTCTACAATCCACATAAAATAGGATTCAGTTAGTATAGTAGTACTTGAAACATAAATAATATTAAAAGAAGTATATACAAGAGCTACCTTTTTTAACTCAAGACAGTCCCAAGTAAAGTAACGTAGCACTTGACAATTGTAGTATTTTAACTTTCTATTGCCTTTCTTCTTTTTCAACCATTTTGCTTTGTTGTTGCGTTTGGGCTTGTTCGTTTTAGGTCCATGTCCAATCTCCTTTCTTTTTTCTTTTCCTATCGCGCCTTTAGTTCTTTTTATGCTTAAAGCCCAAAACTTTTCCAGAACTAGACTCAACTACAAAAGCAAGTTCGAGGGAGTCAGCTATACCAAGTCCCTCTTCCTCCAGGATGAATGATGATTGTGAACTTAGTAAATTTTCGACTCTATGCTTGATGTTAAATCATCATAAATCTTAATTTGTATGAGTACAAATAATATGTGAGCATAAATGAACAATTAAATGGTTATCTCTGAAACTTTGAGAAATAAGACATCGAAACATAGCATTGATGACCTTAATAAGGTAGATAAATTGAATGACAATAACTATAACACTTGGCGCCATGAAATCTAGTATGCATTGGAGGAACACGATGCTCTCATGCGATGTAAGTCCCAAGTTCAAGTTTTAATGCTATCATTATGAGTCAAATTGATAATTAGATGTTCCAGTTAATAGAAAGAAATCGAATTAAAGTTTGAACTTGCTACTCATTAGAGAGTATTTGACCAACCAACTTCAACTCCTTGATCATGTTAGACGTAACCCTAACATGCTATTTGATGTTATGATCAAGAGATTTCTTATGAGTGTCAAACTTTATTGTTAGCTATTTAAGTCAAGTCATACTAGTACCACCACATTTGTCTCTTTCATAAACCAAATGTCATAATCAATTGAGAATTGCTCACATTCGTGTATAAGATCATCCACTATAGAACATACCAAGACTACACGAGCAGTAAAATCTTTCTTTTCCCATCACTGAAAAGTTCTCTAATCTCTTCGGT